AATTATTACATTTAAAATTATAACTCTAATTCAAGCAGAATAGCCTATTGTCAACATAATTATGGAGTTTGATTTATTTTCAACTCAAAATATCTTCAGACTAATGAAATATAAAGTTATTAGTGAAGAAAAACCTGTCTGGAAAACAGCAGACTGACTGCTCGTAAAATATAAGACAGGTCTGGACCACTCATGAATTTTGTTCGTATCTGAAAAAAATCTTGGAATACGAAAACATTGGTGAATGCCACAAATTTTCCTAAATCACTCGTACGCACAACTTAAGAACAAATCTGTGCGTACGAACGATTCTTGCATGAGGCCCAATGTTTTAAATCAGTGGAACCCACAGACCAGCACCAAAGACCTACAACATCATCTTGCTGCTGATGGAGTCACTGTGCATCGTTCAACTATTCAGCACACTTTACACAAGGAGATGCTGTATGGGAGAGTGATGCAGAGGAAGACTTTTCTCCGCCCACATCACAAACAGAGCTGCTTGACGTATGCTAAAGCACATTTAGACAAGCCAGCTTTATTTTGAAATAAGGTACTGTGGACTGATGAAACTAAAATAGTTATTTGGGCAGAACAAGGGCCGTTATGCATGCAGGAAAAAGAACACASCACTCCAAGAAAAACACCTGCTACCTACAGTAAAATGTGGGGGTGGTTCCATCATGCTGTGGGGCTGTGTGACCAGTACAGGGACTGGGAATCTTGTTAAAGTTGAGGGACGCATRRMTTCCAACCAATATCAGCAGATTCTGGAGACCAATGTCCAGGAATCAGTGACAAAGCTGAAGCTGCTGAAGCCGGGGCTGCATCTTCCAACAAGACAATGACCCTGAACACTGCTCAACATCTACTAATGCATTCATGCAGAGGAACAAGTACAGCGTTCTGGAATGGCCTTCTCAGTCCTCAGACCTGAATATTATTGAAAATCTGTGGTGTCACTTAAAGAGAGCTGTCCATGCTCAGAAACCATCAAACCTGAATGAACTAGAGATGTTTTGTAAAGAAGAATGGTCTAAAATACCTTCAGCCACAATCCAGACTCTCATTAGAAGCTATAGGAAGTGTTTAGAGGCTGTTATTTCTGTGAAAGGAGGATCTGCTAAATATTGAGTCAAGAGTTTTTATGGTGCCCAAATTTATGCACCTGTCTAATTTTGTTTAACCAATTATTGCACACTTTCTGTAAATCATATCAACTTCATTTCACTTCTCAAATATCACTGTGTTTGTCCCCTATATGATATATTTAACTGATTTATTTTATGCAAACAATCAATGATTTATAAAAGGTAAATCAGGAAAATTAACAAGGCTGCCCAAACTTTCGCACCCCACTGTATTCTTTACAAAAGGGGGGTCAATTAGGATCTACTTTGCTGTTCCTTTTTTTAAATTTTCCTCTGTGTCCCTCCTCACCTGCAGACTGGGTCGTTATAACATCTTCAAATATACTAGAATCATCAACCCAGCTGTTAGGAATGAGCCGCACAATGTACTCTGTCTCAGGCTGGAGCCCGCCGATGATGTAGGAGGTCAAAGASGTGTTTAGGGCCTCTGTTATCTTCCAGTGACCCTCACCTGCGCAGAGGGGTGGAACGATCAGGAATGTGTCAGCGCTCCGGAAAGCACACCAAAGCAGAACAGAGGGAACTCTCAAAGAATCACAAGATGCTAGAGGATTCACACACGACTCAGTTCTACTCTGAGACTAGAGGAAAGGAAAGAGGTCAGAGGAGCTTACGTTTGTTCATATACGCTATGTAAAACTCGGTGTTCGCTCCTCCAGATATCCAGCTGATATTTGCAGAGCTGCTGCTAACAGCTGAGCTGACATTCACCAGAGCCGGGGCTGACGGAGTAATGAGACAGGATGGAGAGAAGGAGAGAGCGGTGGAGTGAGGTTAGGAAAGGTTAAAGCAAATGGAAGCTGTATTGGAGCGTTGATGATGGTTCAGTGCAGTGAGATGCTGCTTGTTGCTTTTTAAAGTGTAGAGTTCCCTTCGTTTAGCAAGGTTTTAGTGATCTTTGACAGAAAGGCCTGTTAGTTTATCTTTACAGTATGAAACATGAGAATTGTTGACATGGAGAAGGAGTCCCTCACTGGCCTGCACCTATTAGACACTAGACAGCTACTCAAAGCTGCAGTCACTACATTCTTGGTGTTTGTAAGTTTTTGCTGGATTTGAGCTGTCAGTTTATAAAAATTGAAACTTATTTGTGTGCGAAAGGCTTATAAAATTGTTTTCCAGGTGGTGCGCATTATATCACTGGCCCCCTTCATCCACATCGTGCCCACCTCAACCCACTTTGTACTCAGTTTGGGAGCCACTCTCACATTTATCATTTTATCTACTGGAATATACTTTTTAAAATAAAGTTAGGTAGATATGAATCAGATTTTAAATATTGTTAGGCACCTACATCACGTGTGAAACTCAAGGCCTGCAGGCCAAATGTGGCCCACCACTGCATTTTAAGTGGCCCACCAGGCTTTCAAAAATGTCTTAAAATAAATGTAGGCTGCAGTATATGTTTTTTTATCCCTCCTCTTCCCCTCATGTTTGCCATTTCTTGTTTTTCTTTAATGAAAGGGCAGCACCTTTCTATGGCTGCAGCCTCAGGCACCTGTCCCTCAAGTATGTTTTGTTTTGTTTGGTCTTTCTTGGATGGATTGTACTGAAATGAATTTCGTTGTGCTCTGTACAATGACAGATAAATTGATTCTGATTCCGAATAAAGCCAGCATTAACCACAAACAACATCTCCCATAATGAATGCTAATTATCTTCCCTGTGAAACTATAGAGTCCCACCACTAAGTGGAGCTACACAGGGTTCAAAAATAGCCAGAAAGTGGCAAAATTCACTGTGTAAAATCTCAATTTCCCTGCTGCTTAAGTGTTTATAAGAGAACACTTTCTGTGCACGAAACACCATGTAGAGCTCCGGTGCTTGTTAGTGGTGCTCAGCTGTAACAATGAGATGAAGAAGGTTTCATGTTTAGTCGAAGTTAAAACATGAAACGTCAAAGTTGATTACAACTGGCCTTTTGAAGGGCCACCATAATGCTCATGTGGCCCTCAGTGGAAATGAGTTGCACACCCCTGAACTAGATGGTTTTCTGTCAGTGGAGAACTCCTGTGCAGGAAGTAAGTCAAGTAACAAAGTGCTAAGACCCTAACACCTTTTAAACATCGGACCACACAAGCAGACCGAGGCTGCAGAGCGAGCACACAACAAGGGAGCGTGTTGCTTGTTTACAACAGATGGTGTAATCCTGAGCATGTTACTGTTAAAGAGTTAATCTGTGCCGGGGCTGTGAACTGCTGCCTGTGAGTTTCTGTTCATCGTCCCTGCAATGGAAAAAACAAGCCCTTCACGTTCAACTAATAAACATTTGTGCAACAATTTGCACATGTTAGACTTTAAACCACATGAATCAATTTTACATGAATAAGAGTTTAAACTGCATAAAATAATTATATCAAATAAATGTGAATACATGACACGATCATTATCCTATAGATGTYAATAACTCCTATACCTGTCCCATTAATAACTTGAATATTATCATTATGTTGTGTGGTTTTGCATTTCTTGACAGAGATCAAGTAACTCTAAACCATATTTACTACTTACTACCTCTTCAATTTAACATCAAACCTATTTCTTTTAGTAAAGTTTAAAGCATTTGAATAATGAGCATTTACCATGTTAAACATTGAAAAAAAAAAGACAACTGGATTTTTAATCTAAAGCTGAATACATTTTGCTTCCCATCCAGGAGGCTTTCTCAATTCAAAGTACCCGGAGTTATGTGGAGTTCCAAACTTTTTAGACATTTATTTTGATTGATCACAACCTGGATGTCTGGGAATCTTTGCCAGCATGGTATTTACAACCTTCCAAAATCATTTCCGTACCTCCATTATTATGTATGACTTCATTAATTCAGTCAATGCTAGACACAAATGCAACAAACCAATCCATGTGTGCAGTTTTTTTCCCCAAAGCTCTGTAACACTTTTTAGCAGTTGCTCAACTTCCACAAAAAAAAGAAAGAAAAAGAAACACTGGATTTATTCTGTGTTAATGATTGTAACACAATCAGTGCATTAAAAACTGTAATACATGATATATTATTTATCTGTATCTCAACATTTACTGAAGCTCTGAAGTTTGCACGTTCTTCTCTTTTTTATTTAAATTGACTTTTTTCCCTTATTGTTTATAGTAGACAACAAGACATAATGATGTATCTTAACTTTGTGAATTATTGAAGAATTTCTCAGTTCAGTTTTATTCAAGCCAGTATTTGATACCAATAAAAAAAACTAAAAAGAAATCATTGATAAACAGGGTAGATCAGTGTCCTCAGTGGTATCAATGGTTTTATCTCCACTCTATAAAGTTTTTTCCCCCCACAATTGTTTTTCCACAGCTATGCAGTAATCAGTGGGCTTCATTAATCACATTTTCAGGAAGGGTTGATGTTCTATTTAACCTTCTTCTGACTACAAATTAAATGATCTATCCCTTTAATTCTCTGACAAAATGAAATTTGATTCTGTCGTGAGTGATGTGGATGATTAGCATGGAAAACGTGTTTTTACAGCAGGTTTCTGAGCCGGTCACTGAAGCACGGTTTGCTTGTTTTCAGCGTGGAACTAAAAACAAAACATGCAAATCTTCCACTCTGTCTCCAGCTCAGGCTCGCTGTTTGCTCAGGTGATAATCTGCCTCACAAATACACCTGCGTCTGGGCTGTCCACTCCAACTACTGCCACTGCCACTCCCACGCTAATGTTGATGGATTAGTGGGTGACTATGATAATTCATGTCACCGGAGCAGTGTGAAGATTTCGACTGGTATAGACTGAACTAAAAATATCCCCCGTGCTGGCTGCTGCGATTTGTCACTACGTTTCCTCCGCCTGCTATTAAACGCTGCACAGAGCAGCTGCTCAACCAGCAGGGAGCAGGTGCCCTAGAAGACGCCCCTTCAAAGTCAGAAAGCTTTGGTAAAAAGAAAAAAATAAGAGCTGGGAAATATTCTGATATAAGAGCCTTCATTACCTTCCACTTATTCACTTATCCTTTCATTCTGGAAATATCACCCTCCCAGTATGAGCTCACATCAATGCAAAACGGAAGGATGTCTCCCCTCCCCACTTCCTGCCACCTAAGATGGTCGTGGACAACTTCTTTACCCAGAGCTGTGTTGCTGTTTACCCTTTTGAAGAGTACATGGAAATCTCAGGTGACTGTCGGGTCGATGCACTGTTGTGTACAGGCGGGGCCAGGGCCCAACAAATCAATCACTTACAATTAGACATATTTGTCCCGCTCAAGCCACGGCTCTCTGCAGCCACTATGCTGGAGGGGGATATAGATCCTGATTTCCCTGTTGTACACCAAAGATATTAAATCCCTGCTAACAGTAAACAAGCAGCTGTTACATTTGATTTCACCCATTTGCTGTATAAAAACCTGAAAAACAAAAATGGTTTTAGAATGCATTTACCGTATTTATTCATGTATAATACAATCTCATGTATAATATGACCCCCCCACCTTTTTGAGCTTAAAAAGCATAAAAAATTAAATCCTCAAACTACCTCCAATTTCATACAGACTTCGAGATTTTTCAGCCTTTGCAGTCTTTATACATATCAGTAAAATGATCATTGGACTGTTCATTTTATTTTAACAACATATTTACTAAAAGGTATTTTGACAACAAATATACAGTATATCAGCTGTAGCAGCTTCGCATGAATTCTGGCATTTTATACATAGTCCACCAGGATGCGCCAACACAAAAGTTAGAGACATCACATGAGATTTGGACCATCTTGTGTTGGAAAAGCAGATTACTTCCTACTTGTGAGCGYCCCCTCTGGTGGGGAAATGTTTTTTTCAGGGATATAAATTTTTTCAGAACACTGGTAGACGGCAGCCATTACAGACGAACATGTGTTTGTTGTTGTTTGAGGAGTGGCTCGGTCACACGCTAATGTATTAAGTTCGTTATCATTACTGAGCTCGCACCGACTGGAATCTTGACAAAGTTGCAAAACAGATAACTTTGTTTGATCCAGTACCGGGACGTCAAAATAACGTTGTAGGT